TCGGTATCACATTAGCTGCCTTTACTGCCCATTTAGGATTGTCGAGCTAAAGCTCTGATCATTTAAAAATATCAGACTCAAACTTGTGATAATAGGACCGGCAGGCTAGAGATCTAACCAGAGATACCATCTCCCGAAAAAATCAAAAAAATACCTTCCTTAAGTAGAACAGCTCGTGTTTCTCAGTAACAAATATCACACCCAACTTTTAACTTTGCTCCCACTTGTTCCAAATGAATGCATTTTTATTACAATTTAATCACCGAAACCCAAACAATTTGCATGAAAATTACGAAACAAACGTCAGTTGATGTTCAAATTGTGTGGCAATTGTCAAATTGACGTCAAAAAAAAAAAAAAAAAGTATACAGTTTTTCAGTTTACCTGCATTAAAGTTATTTAAGAATGAATAAATAAATATTCAAATTATTTAACTGTTTTGTGTTTTATTCACCGACTATTTTTTTTTTTTTTTAAAGTGTAACATTCCTCGTCTAATTTTAAAAGTGTTTAACGTTTGGAAGCGAACGTTAAAATTGCATGATGTTCACAAATTGATGCTAAAATATAACATAATCTACATACTGAAGTTAAATGAATAGAATTTTGACCATGTAATATTACAATTCTGTAACGTTCACTGAAAAATGATAGAAGTTGTGTAATATCTCAAACGGGTGTAACAGTTGTACAACATCCACTGGCTAAAGTTTAATGAAAGTTAAATGCATTCAAAACAAATGCCTGAGGAAAATGATGAACATAACATGGGATAAATTCAAAAGGAGTGAAGAAATAAGATAAATGTCTGAGCAAGCAATAACATCAACAGTTATAAGGCACGAAAGAAGGCCATATTTTGGACACATTCGAGGAAGAGATAAACAGAAAATAACCAAACAGGTCTGACAGGCGAATTAGAAGGACTGAAGAAACGAGGGCGTTCAAGAGAAACCCTCAGAGAAGCCAAAGGTATACTTGGATGGATTCAATACATGATACTGAAGTGACCACACAAGACAGAAAAGAATGGAGAAAAAGAATGTTAGCCCTATGTGATATATAATGACATAACAGGAAAATTAGTGAATGGATGAATCCACTAACTTTTCTTAAAACAAGGTGACATGTTCTCACAAAAGGTCAGAGTAACACCGTCTCAGACACTGCGTTTGGTAACAAAGTGCTAGCCTATATATAAATTAGGCCACACATAGATAGAGTGGCCGGTGTCTTTCCCCCGCTGCCATTTCCTCATAGAAAACTACCAGATAATTATGTCCTATTTTAATTGGTTGATAAGACCAAAGCAAATAGGATTTAGAGACAGAATGCTGTCACTGAGTTTTTTTTTTTTTTTTTCACTTGCCAAATTTTATATAGCGTTAGTAAAATGTTCCCCTATCTTTATCTACAGATTCTAAGAATATCGAGTCACAGACTTATTTTAATCTGTCTTCATCTTTGATATTCTAAGAATATCGAATCATAGACTTATTTTAATCTGTCTTCATCTATGATATTCTAAGAATGTCGAATCATAGATGTGTTTTTCTCTGTCTTCATCTACGATATTCTAAGAGTATTAGGTCATAGATTTCTTTTAATCTGTCTTCATCGCCGATATTCTAAGATTATCAAGTCAGAGTTTTTCTTTTATCTGTCTTCATTGCCGATAGTTTATGAATGTCGAGTCATAGATTTGCTATAATCTGTCTTCATCTATGTCATTCTAAGAATATCAACTCAAAGATTTCTTTTAATCTGTCTTCATCACTAATTTTCTAAAAATGTTGAATAATAGATTTGTTTGAATCTGTCTTAATCTAGGATATTCTAAGAAGGTAAAGTGGTAGATTTGTTTTCATCTGTCTCCATCACAGATATTCTGAAAATAGATTTGTTTTCTAGTCCCGTGGAGTCCAAATACAGGAGCTGCTCTGAACTTCAGAGCTTAATTAATAAATAAATTCTTCCTTGTATGGGGATGTAAACACTGTAATAATGCACGTTAGAAATGCGATGCAATAAGCCTGGAAGGGGGAAGGGGTAGAATACACAGCTTGTGACCTCAATATTTAAAATGACAATGGTAAAAGCGTTATTGCAATTAAACAACAGACATAAACATTTACATGATTTTGGTGACGTCCTGTACCATTTTGTTATGGTATTACTAGTTGGTATAGTAACTGACACCAAGATGGTTGTATCTGCTGAATTTTAACTCTTAAAGACAGAAGAGCCTGTATTTACATCTGGTAATCAACTAGTTGCAGTTTGGTTGTTGTTCAATCCTGTCTGTCTTATAACACCGTCTTACACCATCTTACACTCTGTTAGACTAGAATTCTTTCAGCTTTTAATGTCATCCTCCAGTTTGAATTCTTGTCACATGCCCAGTAACTAATATAGATTATTTATTTCGTTTTCATACGGTTAAGATTTTACATTATTTTTATTTTATCTCGTGTTATCATGTTTCATACAGGACCGTTTTCTTGTCTTCGTTTTTGTGGTTTCTGTAACCTGTCCCCCGGTAATCTTCATCGAATGGAGGCACTTTGCGCCACCGGGTGTTTATCGCTCGGTGGGATGGCCTGGTTGTGTTAAACGTCATCATGGTATACCCAATAGAGCAGAGGCCCTAAAACAGGCCATGTCAAGATATTTTTACACATTTTCACGATTGGTTGGACTTTGCAGCTGAAGATTTGCTCTCCCCGTCTCCCAAAAATTGTAATAAATAAAAGAAACACCCTGCCTAACATGCCATGGGCAAGGTTAACGTATGTGGTGAAATGAAAATGATTTGAATCAAAAGACAAAACATACCCACTGACATTGGACTGCAGGTTACATCGTTACCGTTATCTGGTATAACTCAGTATAACTCTGCTATATGACTATTAGGTTAAACAGGGTATCCGCAATCTGTAGTTGACTGAGTCTCATCCTTCGGTTTGCAATTTGGAGGCAGGAAAGGCGACATATTGTCTAGTGTGTTCTCTAATCCACATTTTCGTTCTCTAATTCTGTCATTACAAATCATTTTATTTCTCACACCATTCTCTTGGTAATCTTCTGCAAGTTACTCATGTCGGATTTACTTGTTACCTATGTGTAAAATTAGTAGATTATCAAAGTTGCTTAATCTCGGCAGTTAAAATTGTCCAATTTTTTTTTCTGTTTTTAGTACCACAACTACAGAGCTATTTTAATCTTTATTTATTTTTTTAAATGTATCAGTAATATATATATATATATATATATATATATATATATATATATATATATATATATATATATATATATATATATATATACGATTTGATATACTTCCTGTTTTTAAATGTTCACACTGAAACGCAAACTGGCTTGTATGACTCAGTTTTCTATGTTATCACACATAATGATGAAAATTGTGTTTTTTTTTATATCTGTGATTGTTTTCCAGTTGCCTAACTTTCCATGTTTAACTCGCTCTAGTTCTCGGAATTTCCATTTCCGGCATTTCCACACAGAACATTAATTTATGTTTCACATTTTTCTGGGGGGGGGGGGGGGGGGGGCGGGCTGCGTGGTCTCGAGACATGGTGACCGCCTCGAGTGCTAGAGGTCACGGGTTCAATCCCCGGTAAGGGCTGGGATTTTTTCACGTGGACTTCTAGTAATTCCAGCTGGTCTCTGGATAGTGAGATCAAACGCCCGTGTGCATTGTTGCTCATGTAACAAATCCCTTGGCAGTTAGAAATTGAAAAGAGTAGCCTAACGGCGCTGCCCAGGCAAAAATTTTGAGTTTAAAATCTACCAAAAGTAATTCTGGATCGTTACCGGTGTAACAGCACCGGTGCACTGTCCTGAGCTTTCTCGGACTCAGACTTGAGTTAGAAGAAAGATGGGAGCACCTATAGGTGTGCCATGATGTTGATCCATTGTTCAAACCTTTAAACCTCACATTTTCTGTTAATTACGCCCATCAACTGCATTTGCTTTCTCCTTATAGTTTTAGTGATTTTGTAACAAATGGAGCTTTCAATATGCCAGTTTGGTCTCTTCTTCGTCTGCTCTATTTTTAACCGTTTCTTTTGAAAGCTATACCTCCTTACCATTAGTTGCCTTCACAGTATTATTACTAATTGTTCAATGGAAGGACAGACAAGAATGGTGAAAGAACTCACAGAAATCAGTTAATTTCATACGACCAAAACTCCAATGACACCTTGGACACCATATTCTGATTTCTGCTGTGAATCTCTGAAACTGAAGTTCTGGTTGTGAAAAGGGCATTTTGCAAATTGCTCATGACTCTTCTGAATTAACAATCATGAATTTCGTAAACTTTAAGTCATGAATCTCCTAAACTATGAATCATGAATCTCCTAAACTATAAATCATGAATCTTCTAAACCAAAAGTCAAGAATCCTGTTAACTATGAATCATAAATCTCCTAAACTTTAAATCATAAATGTCATTAACTATGAATATGAATCATGAACTAAATATACCATAAATCATAAGTACCCAAGCTAGACATCATGCATTAAAAAACCCTACAGATCACGGATTTCCTAAACTATAAAACTTGAAGTCTTCTAAATTCTAATTCATGAATGTCTTAAATTACACATTTTCCTAGCCACAAGCCTAAATCTAGCCATTACTATGGAAGCTTGTAAATTGGAGTCTAACTGCTACATAAATGTTCTAGCATCTTCCTTAACTATAAATCACTAATCCCCTAAGCCAGTGATTCCCAAACTGTGCGCCACAACGCCCTGGGGAGCCGCGACCTCTTCACATGGGCGCCGAAAATTTTGAAAGATACACGAGTTTTGTGTGTGTGAGTGTCTCTTAGATAATAAATGGTCATACTTTTACTTAGGTTAGGGCGCCGTGGAAATATTTCAAATAAAAAAAAAGCGCCGCGACTAAGTAAAGTTTGGGAAACACTGCCCTTAGCTATAAATGCCCGGCTATAAACGATCACGCAGCTAATTTAGGGCGACGATGATACGTTTGTCAGACAGTGCCAACGGGTGGTTGCCACCTTCGGCTGAGACATCATTTCCTGCCAATGTACCAGTTCTTCTCCTCGCGAGTACATGAACGATCCAACAACCACTCTCCCATGCTCCACTTCAGCGGCGGAGTAAAGATGTGAGGAGGTCAGCATGAGGGAGATGACCAGGCTGCAGGAGTCCATCTGTTTGCTGGCCACCGAGAAGGACACGGACTCGTTAAAAGTCATGTCTGGTTCTCCTTGTCGAGCAATCGTGCGTTTGATGCGATGGCATCTGTGTCCAAAGTGTAGCTGTACGCGCACATAGACTCCTGAAATATTCAAGTAAAAAATATTCACTGAATTGTTGCATAATTCCATTGGACTCTTTGACATCCTCATCTTCATTATCATCATCTTCATTATAATCATTTTACTATCATCATCATCGTCATCATTTTCAATAGGAGTTCCAGAGCCCGATTGTAGGGGAAACAATAATAGACCCACTGAAAAATAAGGGGAAATAGGGACAGACAACTAGGAGTTATTACGAAATCCAAAAAAAAAAAAAAAAAAAATCGTGAACAAAAAGAACAGAGGCAAAACACAGGTCGAAGTCAAACTTTACGGGTCCCTGAGTTCAATTACAAAAGACAGTGAAGTTCATACTAGAAACAATATTGCAGATACAGATAAGAAAGAAAAAAGTAGAAGACATGAAAATGAAATAAAGAAATTAAAAAGGTACTCTGAAAATGAGTGACTCCCTCGGCCTTGAGAAAGCAAAACATAGTGAATGTATCGACTTTATAATGACAGACGGATGGTTTGATCCCTGGAGCAATCCTCTCTTTGTTTTTGACCTTTAGCTTGACCGTAGTCTTCTTATTTTCAGGCTTTTAAAATTAAAACTATTTTGTTCTTGGTTACATGTTTCTATGTCTTATTTTTACATATAATTTCTTGATCCACCTCTGCATCCTTCCCTCAATATTGGGACGTCTTGTGCTCTGTTGGCGTTTCTTTATATTCTGGGATGTGACCTAAGTACTGAGATCTCTGTTTTTGATTGTTGTAGAATGATTTTTTCTCTGCCTAATTACTGAGTGTTTCACAAATATACAGGCTGTTAAATGATATAGACAACAGTATCGAAAAAAAGAAACTTGCATGTCTCAGGTATTCCCGTTAGTAGCGTGTTCTTTACAGAACGTCGCCGAGCCTGCACCAGCATTTGTTTGGGCTGATTTAATTTTTTAGGCCCATTTTACGTTCAGTAGTTTGCCATTGCTGACTGAAAGGTCAGCTCTGGATACCACTGTCGAAACCAACGCAAGACAAGTAGTCCGCAGCTGGGATCCAACCCGGCTCCCCGACATTACGAAGCAGGTTTGCCCCAGACGCTGATCCCGTAGAATGTAGGAAGACTAATTACCAGCTCAGGCACTTCACATTAGGAGAGATGATACGAGAACCAGGAGTCGCCAAAAAAAAAAAAAAAAAGGACTTTACCTGCTTACTTAGTCGCTCCTCTTCTACCTTGGGGTGTAGACGTTTACCAGAGAGATCGACAGACGTCTCTATCAGCAGTTTTCTGTCTGGTTTTGTTCTATTCCACTGCTCTGTCAGTTAGGGACTGTCGTATGTTGTCTTCCCAGCGGACTCTGGGTCGCCCTGGTGGTTTGGTTCCTGGGTTCTTAGCCTCCCATGCCTGCCATGGTGGACGATTTGCTCCCATTCTGCATACATGTCCAAACCACCGTAACTGTGATTGTAAGGCCTTGGTTTCGAGATCTTGACATATTGTCTGGTTGCGAACTTTGTCCCTTTTTGTCACTTGGACCACCTTTCTCACATATTTCATTCTCGAGGTCTGAAGCTGGCTTCTGTGAGCTGTTGTCGTTGCCTATGACTCACACCTAAAGGTCAACACTGGTACATACGTAGAGCGGTATACAACAATTTTCGCCGCTTTACCGATTTTTGCCAAGAAACCCTCGGTTTATGAGTTTGAAGAGTCTTCCAGCTGCTGCTTTTTGTAAAGCCAGCTCTGTCTTAATGCCTCCATTTTGGTCTGTTACAACTCCAAGGTATTTGAACTGGTTCACCTGCATACTGTCCTATCATGGTCTAATGTTTCTTCTCCTCTCTTGAGATAGAAAGATGAAGTGACGGCAGTAAAGAAATTGTTCAGATACACGTAAGGACAAGTCACTTGTAGGAAAGGGCCCTTTCCGTGCTAAAGGTAAATCAGAAATATGATGCTTGAAACATATTTTTAAACTCAAATTAACTCTCGATGTGTAACATAGTATATATCAAGCCGGCTGACTTTTACTTCCCAGGGCATTACCTGGTACTCATTTTAGACTATGTCGATCCCAGAGACAATGCAAATTTTGAAGAAAAAAAATACTCCCTGGATGTGGATTCAAACCCACGAGCTTCAAGCTGGAGGTAAGTGTCTAGCCACTACACCACCGGCGTTTCCAATTAGTTCCCAGTTAGTTCCATTGAGTTTTATATTTCTGCCCATGACATTTGACGATAAATATGAACGATGATGATGATAATTACGAAGACAGTAATCTATATGCTAACGATTACGATATACATTAACACAAATGACGCAAAGAAGACATTAAAGGCCAAATCTCACCCATATCTGGGTAATCCTCCATAAATGTGAGGTTCTTCGCCCTGTGGATCCCCACCTTGATCTTCTCCGCGGAAGGGATGAAGGCCAGGCTGAACTGAAGCTCTCCCAGCGACGCGACAGGCTGCAATTAAACATGGTACGTGTTATTCGCACTTTTGGCACAATATATTCACAATTTTGTACAAATAAATGAAGGTAGCGGAGCAGTAGTGAAGCTGTGACAGCCAAGACTCTAAAGAGTTACGTTTTGTGAGTAGCAAGGATTAACAACGGGACGGAATCGAATCTTCTTTTTTTCTTCAGCGTTCCGAGCCCTTGAGGTTCATTTTTGCAGATATCACCCGCCTCCACTCATCTCTCTGACGGTCTCTCTGACGGGTCTTCTTTTTCCAGTTGGTGACACCAAGTGTTTGCAGGTCTGTCTGCACGTTATCTCTCCATCGTCTTCTGGGTCTGGTGAAATCGAATCAGGACCTCATAATAGGACATACGGATAAATACATTAGGGTGATTCAAACGGACAGAGGATTACACGTGTAACCTACCACAATCAATACAAAGGAGGCGAAAAAACAAAACAAAAGGTCATCCTGACGGACAAAGATAACAGGACAACAATGGGACATAGACAGCCGGTTAGGGACACAAAGCCACCAAACCTAACCTAAATATTTCATCCTCAGCGAATACAATTTGCACAAAATAAAGCAGACCACAAATATAACAGAATGATGCTAGCAGCTTTGCTTCTAGCAGCCCATGGTTACATGTTGCAGTTGTTCCCTTGTGGGATGCAATTTTTCGTTATTTGAAGCCCCACCCTGGCTTTTGCCCGGACCCTGAAATATAGCCGGGTCATAAATATGGGCGACGTCCGTGGCTTAGACGCTGCGAGTCCGACACATAATTCCAACGTCCCGCGATCGAAACCCACTGCTGGCTGCGTGGATTTTTATTACGTTACGGGGCGTCGCAGGTCGACCCAGCCTAAAATGGGTACTAGGTTGTATGTCCTGGGGAAGTAAAGACGACCGGCGTAACACTGACCACATTACCCACCCAGTGGTCTGTAAAAATATGGGACGATCTTCCCATATGTCCGATGCGCCTAAGGCGTGAAAAAAGGATCTTTACTTTACTTTTACATAAATATTGCTATAACGGCTAGAAGTGGTTTCTGGGACCTCTCCGTGGGTGTTCCTCATCCGCATGGTGGCACTTTGTGTCACCGGGTGTTTATCGCTTGTGTGACGTCCTAGTGGGGTACATCAAGAGAGAGAGAGAGAGAGAGAGAGAGAGAGAGAGAGAGAGAGAGAGAGAGAGAGAGAGAGAGAGAGAGAGAGAGAGAGAGAGAGAGAGAGAGCAGCACGTCGAATGTACTCAACATTTTGTTGTAGCATGGTCTTTCGTTGAAGCTGTAAATATTAGCTTGTTCTCCGTAGCATCGAAATGGCGATGCGGTGTTCCTTAATTAAAATATGTGAACAGTAAATGCCCCAAGTTTTTTAAAGGGTGGGAGAGAAAGAGGGTTGGGGAGAATAGATACACAACCCCCAGCAAGCTTTTCATAAAAGTCAACCAACAGTCTGCATACAAATAAGCAATATGTGTAAATATGATATGCATGCAGGGTTCAGTTCAACTTCCTGACGGATTTTTGTCTTCTCTAGATTGGCCTTGGCTTCCAGATTGTCGCAACCTACAATGGATACTAGGTAATATCCTGGAAAGTAAAGCTGACTTATATGATGCTGATTCTATCAACCACAGACTGCCTATGGGTCTGTAAAATTATGAGACTGCACGCATATGCTCGATACGCCACCTGTGTAACAGTAGTCCGTTTATATGTGATTACAATTGATCGCGTGTGCAACTGCTAATCTGTAGGTGACTTCTACTACCATCCATGATGAACTGCATTTCTAATGTCGGACTGTTTGTGTTAGCACTTCGGATGGCTACTGTATGCTTTTAATGCGTGTGTATGTTAGTGCATATGCCGAGACAGCAGTCTGTCAATTGTTCCACAAGGGACTGGGATAAACATGTGTGTTTTTCGTTGGCACAGGAGCGGAGCAACTATGGGGTGACCCGTTTGCTAAGAAGCTGAAACTAAGATTACCAGATTACCAGTCGACTTTACTTATAATGAATAAAGAATTAGTTAAAGAGGAAAATAAAGCAATGAGTAGGTGAACACAAACCTGGACCATGGGCTCTAGATCGCTGCACATGACCTCTCCTTTGGCGAGATCCAAAGACTTCAAGGTGACCTTCACGTGGCCCAAGCAATGGCGTACTCGTCGTTTATCGACATCATACACAGAAAATTTCAGGGTTCGCTTCTTGACATCTTCAGCTGAAACCTGAAACAAGAAATACATATGAGACGTGGCCTATCATATAGTTGTGCTATATGTTACGGTGACTCTTAAGGATTTCTGGCCCTTTTTCAGAGGAAAGAGAAGTTAGTCTCACCATTCCTATCAAACAGTTAGTAAAAGGCGATTGAGTATGTGTCTGGGCGAAGTCCGTGGTTTAGGCGTTGAGAGTCCGACTCGTAATTCCAACGTATCGCGATCGAAGCCCACTGCTGTCTGCGCAGATTTTTATCATGGCATGGGGCGTCGCAGGTCGATCCAGCCCAACATAGGTACAAGGATTGATGTCCTGGGAAAGTAAAGACGGCCAGCGTAATGCTGACCAAATTACTCATCTAGTGCCGATTGGTCTGTAAAAATATTGGGTGCTCTTCCCACATGCCCGATACGCCAAAAGGCGGGAAAAGGGATCTTTACTAATTATGTGTTTTGCGAAATCGGATGTTTGGGGACAAAAAGTTGGTATACAAAAATAACAATAAACAACCAGGCATGTTGCCACGTAAACTTTTTAAAGACGACCAAGAAAAGGAAGAAGAGGCGAGTTACCAGGTTTTGTAAGGAAAGTCTTCTTTGCTTTTCTGCGTGTTCACCAGCTGTAAACTCTGGCGGAAAGTTCAGGCTGTTCATCCACTTTTGGACTGCAGCCCTGTTTCAGAACAGGACTGTTTCGTGTGCATGTGTTTTACAGATCTTATTTGTATGCAGACTGTTGGTTCTTTGCCTCTCAGGCAGATGCACTCCAACTTCAAAGGAACCTCCCAATTAGTCGACTCTTACGATATGCTTTTGGCTAGGCAGTGGGTCTATTTTTGTTTTTCCTATGATAAGGCTCTGGAACCCACACGGGGAGTGAGGGAAATCAAGAATACTAACACTGTTACTGACCATACTTGCTGTATTAAGGATGCTCTTCCAGTGTGGGTTTTGGGGACCCACTGTAGGGCGGAGGGGGGGGGGGGGGGGGGGGAACAAGAGTAGACCCATTGCCTACTCAAAAGCATGTCGTAAGAGTCGAGTAATTTGGAGTTTTAATCGAAGGCCAAGTGCATCCGCCCGAAGGCAAGAAGTCATTATTGTGCACACACATAAAGGTAAAAGGTAAAGTCGGGAGATATGAACCAGCGTCATTGCGCGCAGTTATAAAACAAAAATGCTCTGCCACCAGTACGGACAGCCGATTAGAATCTGTCCGCCGGTGTTGCCGTCCGCACGCAACTCCGTAGCTACAGCGACGTTTCTCCATTTACCCCAGTTTTAACTCTGTTACCCATTACCTAGAGGCTGGGTGAACAAATACCGGTCGCGGGCTGCAGCGAGTCGCAGCGGGATTTGAAAGCGAGTCTCCTATCGACTGCGCTAACATAAGTTAGATCCCTATAAACGGATGTGCACGCAACACTCAGGTTCTGGAATAGAACTAGAGCCCATATGTAGACGAACGACCAGAACTTTCTGCCGGAGATTACAGTTTGTGAACACGAGGGAAAAAGATAAATGCTATTTTCGGACATCCGTTCAAAATGGCGGACAGTGACTTTTACAGACGTGTCAAGTGGTCAAGCCGTTTGTTGCCCAGCGCTCCGAATGTCACTGGTTCACTTCACGGACGCGTCGTTCAGTTTACGTGCGCAGTTTTTAACCAAGATGCATGAATATCGTCGTTTGGGCTAAGGCGTTCGTGCTTTATTCGATTCACTAGGCAGGAGGCTAACCTTTTTACGGAGGAAATTCGTGCCATATGGGGCTGATCTTCTGGACTTTAACTTGAGAGTTGCGTCCCTGTGTGATAAATAATTGGAGAGGAATGGGTCAAAGTGTCCGATCAGGTTTCAGACTTGTGTAGGGTTCTAATCACTTTAGGACGTGAGTGCAGAGACTGGCCAGCTGGTGCTGCCGAATCAGAAGTTCAACGAAAATGACCTTTGGTGATGTGATTGTTTATACATATGGCTCTGTGTTGAGGGGCAGACGAAGTGCAAGGGGGTTCATAGTGAATGCGAATGGAGGTCGCTTGGTTGAGAATCAGCTGCACACACATATCGTGATTGTGACTGACTCAGAGCATGTTGAGAAAAGTGGAGACAGGCATGCTCTGCGAGGAGTGGCAAGCATCACTTCAAAGGGCCTGGGTAGTTGTCATCCTGTGGATATTTTCTCCAGGCCATGCCGGTGTGTTGGGAAATAAACAGGCAAATAAACTGGCCGGTTCTGCACCACTTGGAGTTGAACTAATGTATGACAAGCTGGATGTTTTGAGGACCCTTTGTAAGCGAGTACACAGTGCTAAGGCACAGATAGGAAATCTAAGGAGAATAGCACTGCAATAAGTTACAAGGGGATCTGGTCGACGCTCAACACTCAGGGGAAAGGCGAGACGGATATACAATCAGACAATTACTAGCACCATCGGAACTTTAACTCTTCTTTTGCTGCTGAAGATGGTGACGGAGCGCTTACGGGGGTATCACCTGTGCTGTGATGTCGATTCCTAATTCGACATTAAACATTTCAACAACATGCAACATGCCCTTACCTGAAAACTATGTGTTTCGTTGAAAACTGGACTCAGTGATTTTTTTTTGACCTTTGACACTCGGTGGGTTCGGTCGTCAGGTAAAAGAAAGATCTTCACAAATGGGTCACGGGGGTAGCGGTTGTTCACTCGACCTGGTAATGTTGAAGGAAGAGTTTTTAATGAGCGTACACTTTCATTTGAAAGATCATTATTGTTAACCATTCCGATAAGTATTGGCTGTAACAGTTCCCGCCCTCAGTTACTTACAATCCGGAGATCTACTTAAACAAACATGACTATATTCTATTCCGCCTGGTAATGTCGTTCGCGATCATCAAGTGCCTTGCCCTATGGTGTGGGCGATCATGCCTCCTCACAATCTGCGACCTACTTCGTGTGTTGACACCACTTTATGTCATGACAAAAGGTTGTCAAGAATCATCTCTTCTTCTTTCTCTGTCTCTTTTCCACATATAAATCCAGTAGTCATAACATGTTCCACTTTTGGTTAGTTCGACGTTAGTCTCCCCAGATCCCGCCCATATACACACTACCCCACTTCTGATTGACAGTTCCTGAGCCCCGTGTCTTCGAACAAGGTTACTGGTGTGTTCGCCAGTTGATATCGAGTGTTGTATATTTTAGCACACCAGCGCTGTTAACACTCCAAAAAACATGGAGAAACTGAGTCTAACACAACTTCTGTCTCGGAATAAATAACGTAAATGCAAGACACCGCAGAAACCAAACAACAGAGCGGGACACACCCGTAACCTTCAGGAAAGTCTTTCCAGCCCAACAAACTTGTAAATAAAAACTGACCCACTTACTCTATTTGAGGAGACTAACGTCGAACTAACCCACTTTTTATATCCTTCGTGACACAAACAAAAAGTGATGGCTGCCTTTTTCGGACGTTTGTGAAGAAGATACACTGAAGGAATCACCGTCAGCTCAAAACTTCCCAACATTACCGTATATTAAGCAACCGAGCACTCCCTAGTTCGGCTATATGTTAAACTGCGATTCGTAGCGGCATAAAGCATAAAAGGACCACACAGACCCACCTGGTAAGTCTTTAATCTTGATCAAGGTGACGTGCAATTGGTCCTTAGAAGGATCGTGCACCACAGAAAACCACAAGCGACCATGAGCCGTTTCCGGCAGTGCGGTCTCATCATCTTCGGAGTAGCTTTGGTGGCTAAAAAAAACGTAATGCGTTATTTGCAGTTAGTAGCTAAACAAGGTTGTGTATTATCACCTTTACTTTTCATAATATTTATGGACAATATTAATAAAATAGACATAACACCAACAGATGTCGATAAACAGGAGGACTTCAATGAGCTGCTCTTTGCCGGCGATCAATGCATATTTCACAGTGATAGTAAACAGCTGCAAGACCACATAAACCTACTACATGACAGTTGCCTCAAGCATCATATGAAGATCAATACTGAAAAGACAGAAGTCATGAGCATAAGTAGAGAGCAACAGACCATCGACATAAAGATTCTAGATCACAGCCTAAAACAAGTGCAAGAATTTAAATACCTGGGAAGTATCTTTACATCCAATGGTAAAATAGACAGAGAGATCGAAGCAAGAATCCAACAAGCCAACAATGTCGCATACCAGCTTGCCCCAATTTTAAAACACCCTGCTGTCCCAGCTGAGATAAAAAGACAAATTATAAATACAATCTTTATACCGACATTAGGTTATCAATGTCAGACTTGGACATTAACAAAATAACACGAGAGAAGACTAACCACCTGTGAAATTAGATGTTTGAGAATGGCTGCGAATAAAACCAGAAGAGATCGAGTGAGAAACGATGTGATTACAAGAACTATTGGAACCATACCCATCGTTAAATTTATTGAGAAGCAAAGAATGAAATGGTTTGGTCACCTAATGAGAATGGAACCAACGATGCCAGCATCAAGAGCATACAACATGAAAATCGAAACAACAAGAGGCAGGGGAAGACCAAGAAGAAGATGGATTGAAGGAGTCACGGACAACTTGAGACTTCATAACATCACGGCATATGAAGCGACTGAGCGCGCCCTGGCTCGGTTGCCGATCATCTGATAGACTGCGACGCCTAGCGGCACAAGCAGATTTTGACAAAAGAAGCTAAACACGACTATCAATACATACACACGGGACAATAACACGCATAAGGCACAACTGATTAGCATCTTTGCTGCAACCACAACCGTCTAAGGCCTCACCACCATCTCCACCACTACCATCACCGCTACAATTACAACCTCTCCCCACCTACCAGGGGATCTGGCCAACGCGCAACACCCAGGGAAGGATGAGACCGATGTACAGTCAGACGGTATCATCGGAATTGGAACTCTTCGCTTGCTGCTGAAGATGGGGACGGAGCACTTACGGGAGTGTCCCAAGTGCTGTGATGTCGATTCCTAATTCAACATTTAACCTCTCTCTCTGCCTCCATTAGTATAGCTACTAGCTTCCTGTTTAATGTTTTAGTCATGGCAAGCTTTCACATTTCCCTCTATATGCAGACTGAAAGGATATAGTACTGTCGCCCAGCTACCGAGTTAGTGCATGGCGTGTTGCATTTATAATGACTTTCGACGTGTCCAACGTGGTTTGTGCCGTAAACTGCAAATTCCAAAAAGGGAAAGCAGCCTGTTACAGAACTTATTGTGCATTACGCGATATATTGCGTCTGCAACTATTATTTAATGTATTACTACTACCATTACTGCTGCTGCTGTTCTTTCAGCGTCTATTACATCTACTACGGTTATTGCCTAAACGACTACACTATTACTACTACAACAACTACCACCGCCATCATTACAACTTTTACCACTCCTGCTTTTTTATATACAATGATGATAATGATGTTGATTATTTTTTTAAATGAGTACACCTGTTAGATTTGAGTCTGTAGATACCACTATGGTGGTGTTTTCTGTTTTGATTGTGTCTGAACAGATTATACTTGTGATGGTGCTATTACTTCCCTTACTATCAATATTCTTACTGCTAATGTTTCTTTTTCTCAAAGTCTATGCCGCGTAGCATCGGTAGTTATGTCTATAAACAAACTTCGGTCTTGTGTAGTTTTACTCAGATCTGACACAGGTAATTTGTCAAAGCATGGTGTCAGACTGTGTAGTATCTTCTCTCTCGGTGTCCATCTGCCTCTTTTCAATTCCAGCTTTCATACAGTCACAATGTGCTTCAGTCTTCACATTCTCATGACATAGTCATGGAATGTGGATAGTCTCTTTCTAATGCGAGCAGTCCGTTTTCTTCGTAGGTCAGGTTTTTTTTTTTTTTTCAAAATATCTTCACCTCTTTTTTTCTGTACAGGAAATTTTCATCATCGCCTGTAAAACTTTATCTCCACCGCTTCCACACAGTATTTCACTATTTATTCAACTGTCTGTGATTCATTTTAGGATAGGACTTACCTAGCTCTTGTGTATAACAACAGACAGAAAAAGACCGATTAAACGAACATCTAGGGACAGAGAGGGACATGTTTTTGACATCCAGGGACAGAGAGGGACATGTTTTTGACATCCAGGGACAGAGAGGAACATGTTTTTGACATCCAGGGACAGAGAGGGACATATTTTTGACATCCAGGGACAGAGAGGGACATATTTTGACATCCAGGGACAGAGGGGGACATATTTTTGACATCCAGGGACAGAGAGGGACATGTTTTTGACATCCGGGGACAGAGAGGGACATATTTTTGACATCCAGGGACAGAGAGGGACATATTTTTGACATCCAGGGACAGAGAGGGACATATTTTTGACATTCAGGGACAGAGAGACAGATAAACGTATCACTACTGCCAACATTGCAAAAAAGTCTAACGACTTACTGATACAGATCCGGTGCTAGGGAACCAAAGCTGCTAGAATGCGGAATGCTGATGTTTGTGGGACCCCTCTTCTCATTGAAGCAAGGCTGCACACGCTCTGGTGGGAGGGTAAAGTCTGGGACACGGTGGGAGGCCAGAGATCGCACGAGAATGTTCCTGCCACCTCTACTGACTGCTAGGGCGTCAGGACAGGACATACGTTTGTTGAACTTTGGGGAGGCATTTCTGTAGACGAAATATCTTACTAGTTTTGGTTATTGTTTGATGTGACAATTGTTAAATACACAACACAAGACTGTGACAGTCGCTGTGGATATTTTTAGCCTATTAGAAATTCAAATCCGTCGGAATCTTGGGTCGGTCGGTCGGTCGGTCGGTCGGTCGGTCGGTCGGTCGGTCGGTCGGTCGGTCGGTCGGTCGGTCGGTCGGTCGGTCGGTCGGTCGGTCGGTCGGTCGGTCGGTCGGTCGGTCGGTCGGTCGGTCGGTCGGTCGGTCGGTCGGTCGGTCGGTCGGTCGGTCGGTCGGTCGGTCGGTCGGTCGGTCGGTCGGTCGGTCGGTCGGTCGGTCGGTCGGTCGGTCGGTCGGTCGGTCGGTCGGTCGGTCGGTCGGTCGGTCGGTCGGTCTAGATAGATAGATAGATAGATAGATAGATAGATAGATAGATAGATAGATAGATAGATAGATAGATAGATAGATAGATAGATAGATAGATAGATAGATAGATAGATAGATAGATAGATAGATAGATAGATAGATAGATAGATAGATAGATAGATAGATAGATAGATAGATAGATAGATATATAATACTAGCATGATGTTGAAGACATTAGAGACAGATAACTGAACATCCCAATGTAAGCAGCGCAAAACAATGACAACTTTTACATCAAAGAACTCCACATCTCAGAGTGCTAGCGGTTTTGTGAAAATAAGGAACAAGAGACTTACAATACTTAGGGATGTTATTATACCTTCGAGGTGATTGGCTTGACTCACCTGGACGCTGGGGCCGATTTGGTGCTCTTGGACTCATCAGAACCGAACTCACAGGTCAAGTCATTCAGTAGCTTCTGTCGCCGTCGTCTAGATCTGAACCACAGTATGACAACAATGGAGATGAGAAGAGCGGCGGCGGCGCACCCGCAGACGATTCCTAGTGTCACAGCTGTTGAGGGAAAAAGAGCATATGCACATTTTATGCGCGCACTAGGTCGGTTTCTCGGCGTTGAGCTTAGTCGTTAGTCGATACTTAGTCGTTAGTTAGTTGTTAGTCGTTAGTCGAATTTCCTACATCACCACAGTCGGGTTGCTCTATAGCTACTTCCTCATGTGCGAGTGAAAAGCACTCAAAATGTCATTCGATGTCTCATTTGAAAACTAGTGACAATTGCCAATCTAAGACAAATCTTTAAGTTTGCACACGCATGGTAAAAATTTCTGAGACAACTGTGTAATCAACAGGGCAGCCGGCAGATGTGCCAACACTACCGAACCCACACTAGAACTGCAGCTCATTGGTGGCGAAAATGATAAATCACGAAAATCAGCATACACATACAGATCAGTGGCTAGCTGGTGTATAGGTAAAGAGTTACATGTTCATGTTGGCTGGATAGATTAAAGAAAGTCAGAATTATGCAGATACATTACTGTAAGGTCCGTACTAAGCAGGTAGATCTGGTACGTGGTACGTGTATAGAACAGTGTTAAGTAGGTAGGTTTTTATAAAGAACAGAGGAGTAGGTGGGTAGTTGTTTAGAGCAGTGTTGAGTAGGTAGGATTTGTATAGAGCATTGTTGAGTAGATAGGCAGTGGTGTAGAGCATTGTTGAGTAGACAGGTATTGCATAGAGCATTGTTGAGTAGATAGGCAGTGGTGTAGAGCATTGTTGAGTAGACAGGTATTGCATAGAGCATTGTTGAGTAGATAGGCAGTGGTGTAGAGCATTGTTGAGTAGACAGGTATTGCATAGAGCATTGTTGAGTAGATAGGTATTGCATAGAGCATTGTTGAGTAGATAGGCAGTGGTGTAGAGCAGTGTTGAGTAGATATGTATTGCATAGAGCAGTGTTAAGTAGATATGTATTGTATAGAGCAGTGTTATGTAGATATGTATTGCATAGAGCAGTGTTAAGTAGATATGTATTGTATAGAGCAGTGTTGAGTAGATAGGTATTGCATAGAGCAGTGTTAAGTAGATATGTATTGCATAGAGCAGTGTTAAGTAGATAGGTATTGCATAGAGCATTGTTAAGTAGATAGGCAGTGGTGTAGAGCATTGTTGAGTAGACAGGTATTGCATAGAGCAGTGTTGAGTAGATAGGTATTGCATAGAGCAGTGTTGAGTAGATAGGTATTGCATAGAGCAGTGTTGAGTAGATAGGCAGTGGTGTAGAGCAGTGTTGAGTAGATATGTATTGCATAGAGCAGTGTTAAGTAGATATGTATTGTATAGAGCAATGTTGAGTAGATAGGTATTGCATAGAGCAGTGTTAAGTAGATATGTATTGCATAGAGCAGTGTTAAGTAGATAGGTATTGCATAGAGCAGTGTTAAGTATATATGTATTGTATAGAGCAGTGTTGAGTAGATAGGTAGTGGTGTAGAGCAGTGTTAAGTAGAAAGGTATTGTATAGAGCAGTGTTGAGTAGCGGTAACCCTTAGGCTCGGTATAATAGATATCGTAACATTTCAGCCTTGATTCCATGATAAATATCGTAAATCTGGGAGAAATGTGGCTTTTCTGCCTACCCCCGGAAGTAAACCCGGACCACCAGGAGTTCGTCACCCGGTCACCGCGCAATCCAGTTAAGCCCCCTGGGAGGGGGGGGGGGGCGCTGTATTTCTCGAAGAGACGGGCAGAGAATCACCACCAAACAGGCACTGAAATAGGAAATTGATGGACGGAGGAAACGTGGATGAGATAAGCTGATGGTGCTGGACTGAATTCCATACATGATATTGAAGCGATTGCACAGAAAAGACAAAAATAGAGACATGGACTAAGATTTATGTATGACACATAATGATACATCGGGACAAAAAGTACAGTTAGTTGCGTATCCTTTACAGGACGTTGCAGAACCAACAGCAGCATTTTTTTTTACTGCTGTGTTTTTTCTAGGCAAGTTCATGTCCTGTAGTTTGCCACTGCTTTCTGGACGGTTGGCTTCTCGATACCACGTCGAAACGAACACAAGGCCCGCAGGTGGGATCGAACCCGGCACTGCGGCATTATGAAGCGCGTTCACAATGCCTAAGCCACAGACGCCGACAAATAAATAAACAAAATAAATAAATGACTAGAAGCTGCAGAAGGGCATGCACAAGTGATCAAGTAGGATCAGTAATGACAAATAAGAAAACCCGTTCATTGGTTCCCTTGCTTAGAGAACACATCAAACATGTAATGACACACACAAGCAGACGTCAGTGACAACAACAACACACAGCCTAAGATGTCCCCGAGCCTAGTTTAAGCTCCGCATTACATGCACCGAATGAAGGGAACGTGTTCGTTGCCTAGGACGCCTGGCCATAAATGGATGACAGATCGCTAGTGGTGTTGTATGACGGCAGATGCTTGTGATAAATGTGCAGGAAGAGAAGGGGCTAAATTTAACTCAGCCATAAGTGGTTAGGTTTTTGTCACACTTGCAGACACACGTCGCTTGTAAAATTCGGGAAAGAGAGGGTGACAGCCCCAGGGTACAAGTACACAAGTATTAAATTCAAAGCGACAGAGCACGTCGTGAATAAAACATGAAATCAACTGTATATTACAATACACAAGAAATAAAGCCATCAAGTGTAAGATTATTTTATGTAGGTAGTTGTGATCTTAAAGCAATATTGCTTAATTGAAAATTTGAACAAGGAAGATACAAACAATATATTGCACAGTTTATTTAAATACATACTTTGGAAGCATCTTTGCACACAATTGTAAAAAAAGACAGCGAGATAGAAACGAGAATTCAACAAGCCAACAATTTCACAGTTCTTCAGACAATAAGTAAAAAGAAACATGGGTCACAGGTCTTCAAGAGATCCTTCGTCCACAGTTGTTTCGGTTTTTTGCTTTCCTATAAAATCTCGGAAGGTAGTCCGACCTGGGTCATGAAGCCAGGCCCAGTTCTTCCTCTGCTGCACTTAGTCGGACTCAATAGGGACAAGACGATAAGGTGATTTTCAACAGGTGCTGTGAGATTTGGTGTTATATTGTCGCTGCGGTAGCAAATTAGATCAGTTGACTACCTTCACGACCAGAGTGACAAGCTTATGGTTGGCTCATCAGACAATTGTTAGACTTTGGCCTTTGGCAGAAAGACACTGGCAGACATTTATCTGACACTCTGACTTTTAAGACGTTCTTTTTCACAACGGACTTGGCCAGTCCACCGAGGCCTATCCCCCAAGTCGTTCCGTTGCGCCCAGAGCCAGCTCAAAGCTCTATTAGCAGCTTCGCCCAGTTGTTTTAGTGACCGTTTACGCTCATTTCCTCTCAAGCCCAGCTGCTTTAGCACATTGGGCATGGAAGTGGAGATAAGACCACCAGTTTACCGTACTTTTAGGGCTTGTACAGGTGATTTTCTTTCATTCGCGACTCAGGATAAGCTGGTGTTTTGCTGCAGAGTGCAGAACTCTGTCTGGTCTCATGCCAGTTCGGATTGATCCGGGGTATTTCTCAAAAGGAGGCAGGTCGACCGGCAGTAACCACTCCCTCGCACAGTCAAGTATCGATGAAGCATATGCGACTTTGCGACTTTACCTTTAGAGATCAGCGAAGTCTTGAGGAAGCGCATAGAGCACAAAAGGAGGCCTCCCGTTGGCCCTCATCCTTGCGTTATCCCCAATGTCTGCTAGCTCTTTCAGGACTTTACTGTGGTGCCATAATTATCGTCAGTGGCCTAGGGCTTTCCGGAACGCGGACAATGCCTGCTCGGGCGTCTGCTTAGCCCTGCATAGAAGGCATGTAGGGTTGGTGGTCCATTTGATCATAGTGGCGCCAGACGGTAACACATCGTAGGCATACCTAAGGACAAAGCTCAGCCACATTTCACACTATGTGAGTATTCGTGTCAGTGGGTTCTCGAGGCCAATTCAGTGGCGCTGCGACTTCTTGACTGCTTGTTAGAGCCGAATCTTGATTTTCGGAGTCCCTGACCTGCTGTGTTACCATGTCTCTGAGTTCTTTGGCCAAAGCTGTGAATTACCAAGTGACTTTTCGCTGCCCTAGACCGCGTCTCTCAGTTTCTGTGTAACCCATGACTTTCCGCAATTTTAGTCAATTCCGAGCAGATTCTATCGCAATTCGACCTTTCATTTCCTATGTTCATAAGAGCGGCTCGGACAGCAGCCACTGTGGGGTCTGAAGACTCGCGTAGAATCATTGAAAGCATTATTTTGCCGACTTTAAACTCTTCGCTAATGATTTGAACAGAAGCACCAGTTTAGTCTGCTACGTCGGTCAGACAAAGCGGCGCTTTGAGCCACTTTCTCATGGCGGTGTTGATTGCCCGCTCTAGTGACAACTCTTCGCTCGTGTTGACTTCCTACACTAGCAGTTGCCAGAGAACTTTGGAATAAACATGCATTGGAGACATCAGACCTTAAAATTCCAGATCAGCCTGCACTGCTCGCTTGAAACCAGGCGTGTAGCCAGTGACTTGTGTATATGCCGGACTTCTACTCTATTAGATATCCTCAAATGGTAAACGCGACCGAGACTCTTTATAGGTTCTTCCAAAACCGTAGGGAGCCTTTCCCTTGCAACCGTGAAACTGGTTGCCACCACATTGCCCTTTTGGATCGACAGACTTCTGGATTTCTGAGGCTTGAACTACATGCCGCACCATTCAAGCACACAGTCCAGCAGAATCAGGCTTGCATTTTTTTCACAGCCTGTTATGACAGTCGTATCGTCCATAAATGCTCTCAGTGGCGGCATCCAGTGGTCCCCAATTTGAAGCCCTGCCGCAGCCTGCAACACCGTCTAGCATGACATGCATGTTAATACGAACAGTTTTGGAGAAATCGTACATTCTTTGCTATGCCAACCTGCAGCTCAGTCCACCTCGTAGTAAACGTGGAGTACAGAAGTGGTTGACGAACTTTAAGCAATATTGCTCGATTATTTCGGCGATCTCTTTCCGTACGTGGAAC